GTCACAGTCTTTCACTGCAGACAGACCTGTATTCCATTTCCCATCTGGTGGCATGGTGGGTTACATGTTGGGCTGCTAACCACAAGGTCTGCAGTTTGAAACCACCCAGCGCTCCTCAGGAGAAAGACGAGGCTTTCGACTATCGTAAAAATTGACAACCTCAAAAATCCACCGGGGCAGTTCTACTCTGTCCATCAGGGTTGCCGTGAGTCAGAGTCCACTGCTCATCGTCAGTGATCAGTGTCAAGGTCAATACGTCCTCCCTCTTTCTGCTTGTTGTGAGGTTCTCAGGAGAGAGTGATGCCACATGGCTCAGGGTGGGGCCTGGGGATTCTGCCCCCGGTGGGAGAATGGGAGGAAGGAGGGCAGAGAGGTGCTGGGGGCAGGGCAGGCCTGTGGGAGCAGAGCAAGCAGGAAAGACCCCCCTACCCCCACCCTGCAGGCAGGGGGCCCCTGAACGAGCAACTTAGCAGGAGGGGGTTGAGCAGTTTCTGCCAGCCTGCATGCTGCGTTCCCAGTGCTATGCTTAAAGTGATGGGGGTCGAGAGGCCAAGTCCTGGTGCCAAGAGCGCTGGTCTGTGGGAGGCTGGCTGGCAGAGTGGGGGCAAGCACACACAGGCCCAGGAGTCAGGTCAAGCAGAGATAAAACAGGCATCACCACTTCCTGTCTTCATAACCTTGGTCAGGTTGCCTAACTTCCCTGAGGCCTGGTTTCCCCAGCTGGAAAATGTTGCGCGTGTAAGTCAGCCATCAGGCAGCTATGAAGGTGCAGGTAGTGCAGGTGGTGGCTGCCGACAGAGTGCGTGTGCGGGGAGGAGCTGGGTGTGCGGAGGGGTGTGCTGCCTCCCCACTCTGCACAAATGACATCATCCTTCCCGCCCCTCTGGGATGTGGGAAGGATGGGAAATGGCACAGTGGAAGGGCTGTGTGTGGCACACAACAGGTGCCATCTGTCAGTTCCAACTCATGCCACCCTTAGGGGAGTCAGAGCAGAGCTGTGCTCCCCAGGGTGTCGATGGTCCTGTTTTTGGGAAGTAGATGGGCCAGATCTTTCTTCTGTGGGACCTCTAGGTGAACTTGAACTTTTGCCTTGTTGCCTAGCAGCAGAGCAAACTAACTGTGGCACCGCCCAGTGGGTTAGTGACCAACCCCACTGCTGTGGAGTGGACACCGGCTCACAGCAAGCCCCTGGGTCGCACAATAGAACTGCTCTGGGGGCTTAATCTTTATTGAAACCGATCAGAAGGCCTTCCTTACGCAGCGCCCCTGGGTGACCTAGCACAGACCATCGGCGCTGCCCAGACACCTCCTTGTTTCCTAGGCAGTGCCAGGCACTTAGTAGGCATTTGATGTGTTGAACTAACAGCTGAATGGTGCTGAAGGAAGGCCATTCCTTAACACGCTCGCTGCTACTGAAGCACCACCCAGAAGAGGATAGAGGTCAGACTAGGGGACACTGCCCGAGAGGGGAGCTCTCTCGCGAGATCCGCGGGCCCCCAACGTTCCAGATTCCTTCTGGGAGCCTAATGGTCTGGAGCAAGGTGTGCTGGGGGAAGGAAGCCCAAGGCTAGGGGGGAGGTGTCGGTAGCAACTGGATGATGCAAAGGGACATCCACAGTCCCGGCAAATCACCGCCGGTGTGGGCACAGTTGATTCGTGTGATGCAGCCTCGCGTGTTTTGCTGACAGTGTGCCAGCAGGCTTCTCATCCAACCCGAGGGGGCAGCTAGGCACTGATGCAGTCACCAGAGATGCTAGCACGGGGTGGGTGTTACCAACATCCCTCTCCCAGGCCCATCTGCCTCTTGTTGCCCTGACCTCGACCCCCGCCTGCATCCCTGCCCATCTCAGAGCCCACTGTCCCTCCCCTGTCCTCAGAAGCTCAGCTGCTCGCCCCAAGACACGTGTGCCCATCTCCACGCATGTGTGCCCATCTCCACGCACGTGTGCCCATCTCCACGCACATGTGCCCATCTCCACGCTGTCATCAAAGGGGCGTAGATAGTCCTGGCTTCCATCGCCTTCTGGGGAAGCGCAGATCACGGACTTCGCTCTCTGGGTCTTCTCTGGATGCTCCTGTGTGCGTCCTTCGGACTGCCCCAGGGTGCCTCCTCCTCTCAATCCACACTCATCCCTGGGGGTGGAGGGGGCGTGGTGGCTCCCCATGCTGACATAGCACAGAATTAGTTCCCAATCTGGTCCTCTCTCTTGACTTCAGAACCCCAAGTTCAATTGCCCTACGGGATGATGCCACCTGATGACCTCTAATGGCCACCTCACACTTTACATGGGCAGTCCCCACTCACCACTACCTGCCCTTGCCCAGCGCCCGTGAGGGCAGTGTCATCCCTCCAGGTCTCCGGCCCGAACTTTGCTGTCACCCTCGTCCCTCTCTTTTCTTGGCACCTGCCCCCACCCCATCCGCCAATCCTACTGGCTGGAGCTGCACGGTGCGTCCAGAGTCTGGACCCTTCTTGTTTCTTCCACTTCCACCCTCTGCTCTGAGCCCCACGACCTCTTACAGCCCGACAAGGGGCCCTGCCCTCTCTGCTTGCTCCCTGCTCCCTGCGGCCTGTTCTTGCCCAGCCACCAGCTACCAGGGCTGTGCTCACAGAAGGCCAATCATGGCCCTCCTCTGCTCAAAACTCCCCCGCGTGGCTCCTGTGTCTCGTGGAGCGCCCCAAGACCCATGATGTTCTGCTTGCCCACTGCCACCCCCTCTCCAGCTGCTCCTGCAGCTTGCTTGCCCCTCGTCCTCATTCCAGCCAGTCTCACTCCTCCGGGACCCACCAGGCAGGCCCCTGCCTCAGGGCCTTTGCACTGGGTGTATTGGCTGCTCCCTCTGCCTGGAACAACCTTCCTCCTGGCATTCACATCCTCACCTCCCTCCAGTCTTTGCTCCAAGGCCACGACCCCCCCCCCCACCTGTTTAAAATGACACCCTGCCCCCTCACCCCACATCCTTGACAGCTCTAACTCGGATTCATTGCTCCATATTACGGACTCGCCCCCCCCCACCCGACTCCCACTCACACACCACCCACTTACTGTAGTTCACGCAGACCCACTGGCTCTTTCCATGAGAAAACCAAGCCCGGAGACAAGGACCTCGGGTTTCTTCCCTGAGGCAGGGCCTGGCAGGCAGGAGGTGGTCAGTGAATCCTGTTGGATGGATAGCTTTGCTTTGGGTTTGTCCTCTTACTGGCTTCTCTTCATGGCACCTCGTCCTGGTCTGGGGGGCCAGGAGGTGGCTGTTACCTGTGAGACCTCAGACTGTCCTGCTGGATGACCCAGGCATGTCACATCCCCTCTCTGTGCCTTGGTAGCCCCCGTCCATAGAATGGGGACTGGATTTGGTGTTCCCTGAAGGCCCTGTCAATGCTGACAATTCACACACATGCACACGCCCACCACCACTCCCACCGCCGTCCAGTAGGAGCTCCGACGAGCTTGACCTACACGCACAGCCAAAGAAATGTCCTTGTTAAGATTCACTGCCTGCAAGTGGGCGTGCAGACGCACCAGACCACAGGTCAGGCTGCGCTCTCTCCCGGTGAAGAAAACGGACTGTGAGCCGAAAGAAAGGGGTTTGGGTCTCGGACCCCCCACTTGATGGGTGATGGGAACTTGGGAGACCCACTTCACTCCTCTGAACCTTTGTGGCTGGTCTACAGGCATGCTGGCATGAAGCAGGGTTTGAATCCAGGCCAGCACAGTTCCCAAAGCCAGACGCGTACTTACAGGTGCAACTATTCCGCTTTAAAGCTAGTGCAAACAGAACACTGCAACACAACACCCCCCACCCCACAATGCTTCTTCCACAGCACCCTGTGAGTGCTACCTGCCGGGCAGGGGGGCCGGCCCAGCCTCCCTGCTCACCCATTGCCCCATTGGCAGACAGAGCCTGGCTCCAGAGCCCAGAACACAGCTCAGTGGTCGAGTGGGCGTCCCCGTCCTGCTCTGTCTAGTCTGACCCCTGGGAAGCAATGGGCCTCCTGCAGGGTGCAGAGAATCCCACCAGGCCAGCTCGGTCTCGCTCGCTCGCGATGGAACATTGGACAAGCACAGTCCTCTCTGAGCCTCCGCTGTCCTCTGTGAGGCGGGCACCCAGGATGCCGACATGTCTGCCTGGCACTGCAGAGAGGAGGTTTGGTCAAGTGTGAAGAGCACCTGTAACACAGGTGTCTCAGCCTCTAGACCAGTGGTTCTCAGCCTTCCTGATGCTGCCGCCCTTTCAGACACTTCCTCATGTGGTGGTGAGCCCCCAACCAGAAAATTACTTTCATTGCTACTTCATTGTAAATTTGCTCTTGTTATCAATTGGGCAACCCCTGGGAAAGGGTTGTGCGAGCCCCAAAGGGGTCATGACCCACAGGTTGAGAACCATGAAAACCACTGCTCTAGAGCCAGACATGCTCCACGGGTTCCGAGCAGTGCAATCTCTCTGCCCCGCAGTCCCCTCCTCTGCAAAGGGGGGGTAGTAATGGTGCCGACCTCAGGGTGAATGGGGGACAGTAAGAGTGACTGCTCCCGCAAAGGGTCATGAACTACTCCAGGCAGAGTGCACAGACAAGCCCACTCAAGAACAGAGCAGTGATGTGAGCGACCCTGCTGGTGGAGACTTGTCCCAAGCCCATGTGGTCTTTAAATGTGCGGCCTGGGCTATGACCTCTTGCTTAAATCTCCCAGCCCCATGCATGCTCTGCCTGCCCTGGTTTTCTGAGGTTGGGCAGATCAAGGTTGGGCTGGGGTCATGGCCCAAGGGGTCAGGTCTGTTCCTTCCTAGAACACCAGGTGAGCTTGCTGTTCTTGCCCCCGCCCCAGTAGTCCCAGGGAGAGCTCCAGGGCAGAGGAGGGCTGACCGCACCTGCCCTGGGCCTGAGCAGGGAGGGGCTGAGTGCTGGGCCTCCACCGCAGGCGCTGACTCATGGTCTCTGCTGGGCCCTATAAAGGAACCAGCCCAGGGCCTTCCTGCAGTGGCAGGAACGAGCGAGCCCTACCATGGCCCAGGGGGCAATGATCTGTGTGACCCCAGAGCAGCCCACCCATGCTGTGTGTGTGCTGGGCACCGAGTCTCGGGTGGACGTCGTCAGGTGAGAGAGGGGCCTTCAGAGGGTTGGGGGCAGGTCCAGAGGCGCTGGGGGAGGAACGTGTGGCTGGCTCCGGCGCCAGGCACCAGGAGAGCAGCTGGGAGAGAGGAAACCTAGACCGGAGGGGCACCGGGTGGGGCCAGCTCACCCCTGCCCGTGCCAGTTCCTGTGGTCTCACCGCAGAGAGAAATTATGAGGCAAACAGGCCCTGCCCCCTCACCAGGGACACAATGTGAGCTCAGACAGGGCCGTGACTGGCCCGAGGTCACACAGCAAGTGTGTCCTGAGAGCAAGGTTTGCACCTGGGCCCCCGACACAGGTGGCATGAGGTGCATTTGGTGATGCCACCCTTCTCAGCCGACCAGAACAGTGTGGGCACCATGAGATGCGCCCTGTCCTATGATGGGCAACCCAGTCCTGCTCTTAGCTAGCCTGGCAGCATGGGGGCACTGTGCCTCAGTTTCCTCATCTGTGACAGGGGTGTGGTGATAGCACGTCAAAGGGTGGCCGTGGTGCCTGCAAATGAAAATGTCTGTCGGGGACTAAGAGGAGGCTGGGGCATGGTGGGTAATTGTTTCCATTCATTCAGTCATGCACTCAACAAATGCTCGTTGTGTTTGATAAGGGCCGAGCCACGACCAAACTCCTGGGGAGCAGATGGCTGAGGGCCCTTCCCGGGCAGGGTCGAACAATTGTTATCTGGACTCCTAGCCCCAAAGCGAGTGGTTGGGACCATCCCAGAGGCGCCTGAGAAGACAGGCCTGGTGATCTGCTTCTGAAAGGTCTCCCAGTCGTTTCTGATGCACAGCGACCCTGGAGGGCAGGGTAGAACTGCCCCTGTGGGTTTCTGAGATGGTAACTCTTTGCAGGAGTAGAAAGCCCCATCTTGCTCCACTGGTGGTTTCCAACCACTGACCTTGTGTCTAGTCACTCAACGTGTAATGACGCCTCTGAGAGTCCGCTCAACGTGTAATGACTCCGAGTCAGGCTGGAAATCCTGTGAAGCAGCTCTGCTCTGCGCCCCGAGCCTCTGAGTCCGGGCAGACTTGGAGGATGGCTAACGACCGCAGCATTACCACTTAGCTGCCGCAGACAGGGTCATCTCGGAACACAGGACAGAGCAGAACTGCCCCCTGTGGGTTTCTGACGGCCCAGTCCTGAACCAGGCATCCTCTGGGCATGAGGGCACCTCCCCACAGCCAGCCGGAAGGCAGGGCTCATCGGTCGGGTTAGTGGATCAGGCAGACAGGCTATCACACGCAGGCCTCTAAGCAGATTCACCCGTGAGGATCCTGAGACCCAGGGAGGGTGCCGGCCAGAGGTGGGGGGGGGGGCGGTGTTTGAAGGGACGTAGGGTTCCCTTGGGGGCAGAGCCACCAGCTAGTCTGCAGGTAGGGCTTGCTGGCTGGTGACACCTGAGATCGAAACCACAGAAGGTGTAAGCAGGCCCTGGCCCTGTCTCCCCACCCCCACCCCGGGGCAGTGGGCAGTAGCCCCAGTCACACACTCTGACAGTGGATAGAGACGATCCCTGACCCAGCAAGCCAAGGCCCTGAGCCCCGGGGACAGGGCAGAGCAGCCCCAAAGAGCATGGAATGCCCCCTCAATGATAACTGGCCTCCTCCAGGGTGAGGGCCAGGCGGGGAGCAAAGGCCACTGAGAGGACTGGGCCCGCAGGACGAGGGTAGCCCACAAAGGGAGACTAGCTCCCCCTGCTGCAGAAGCACCTTCCTTCTGGCCAGGAGTCCATGCCAGGCAGTGCCCCGCTCAGCTGCAGGCGGGCAGAGAAGGCAAGCGGGCTGGTTAGGAGGGTATGTGAGCGTGTGGGAGCCCAGGCCTGGGCCTGGCGTGTGGCAAATGCTCTTCTCATGTGTTTATTGAACGAATGGAAGAAAATCAAGGGCCGAGAGAAGCCCATCACTACCTGCTCCATCCAGTTAGCGAGGAGAGCCTCTTTGCTGCCGCAGAGGGTCAGAGGAGAGGTGGGAGTGAAGCGGTTGAGGGCCAGAAGGAGGGTCAGAGAGGCAGACTCACCGACGTGGGCAGTCATTGCTGTCCCTCACCCCGATGACGCAGTGGATTAATCGCCAGGCTGCTAATTGAAAGGTCAGCAGTTGGCACATAGCTGTGGCTCCCTGGGGGAACCCGTGCAGAGGTACAGCCTCAGAGCTACCCTCCCACTGCACCCCTGGGCAGTTCTGCGCTGTCCTATAGGAACCAGAAGCAACCCACCACAGTGGGCATGGTTTGGGTTCAAGTCAGGCCACTTGGCCACAGCTGTCCCACTTCTATGGTCCTTCAGGGGAGACATCTCAGAGGCAGAATCACGCCCCACAGCAGCAAGGGGAGAGGAAGAGGAGGAGAGAACTTTCCAGAAATCAGGGGGCCACAACCGTGCCCACTGTCCAGTATACCCCTGTGAAAGGGGCTTCCTTCCTTTCAGGGTCACCTGAGAAAATGCGGGTATCACAGGGAGGTGGAGCCATAGCCTGCTTCCCAGGTTAGCACCCGCTTCCTCGATGACCTCACCGCCCCGGGAGCTGCACCTGGACGTGGGCGGCTCCCTGACCCGCAGCTCTGCTCGAGTCCTCCTCCTCCTTGCTCGCCCCCACCCATGCTGCCAACCCTCAGCACCACCTGCCCGCCTGCCCGCTGACAGCAAAGCCAGGTCCTTGAGACCAACTGGCCTCCCCCCACCCTCCCGAACACCCTCCCCAGCTCCTGAGCTCCCCACTGGGGCCGTGATTCCATGAGGTCTTGTGGCAGAAGCAGCAGTTCTGGATGGGAGCCCAGTGTCACCTCCTCAGAGCTGTGTGACCGTGGGCAGGGTGCCTCGGGCCTCTGTTTCCTCACCAGCGAAATGGGGCGAAGGGTGGCCGCTTGGCGGTGCTGCCACGAGTGTTCGGCAGAGCCACCTGTGTCCAGGGCAGGGCCCTGTGTGTTGTGTCTGTGAAAGGAATGAGCAGGGGGACCCCCGCCGTGGAATTATCCTAGAGCTGGGGTGGTAGAGCGGTGGGCACCGTGCCTAGCACGCAGTAAGCAATAAGTGGCATGATGGTGGCCGCGTTGGGCTGCTAACCACCAGGTCAGCAGTTCGAAACCACCAGTCGCTCTGGTGGAGAAAGTAAAGGTTTTCTGTTCTTGTCAACATGTACAGCATTGGAAACTCGGCTCCCCTCCGTCCTGCAAGGTCTGGATGATGGTTGTGAGTGTGATTTAGGGGCAGGCCCTGGGTGGCTGCGGACGGTGAGCAGTAATGGTGCTGATCCGAGCCCACCCCGAGGTGCCTGTGCAGGCGCCTATCCATCTCTGTCCATCTGCTTCAGAAAACTTAGCTATCAGAGTCCCTAGGGCGGGATCAAGGCTGGTGGAAGCCCTGAGACTGCGGCCTTCAGTCGGGTTTCAGGACCAGAAGTGACCGGAACACAGTGGCTCACCTGTCAGCCAGACAATGGCTCTGCAAGGGGGATAACCCGCCATTTGAAATCAAAAGGACAGAATGTGCTCCAGGGTGACGTTTACAAGGCCAGGAAAGAAGGAGGAACGGAAACGGGACACCGGGAGGAAGTGGGATAAGTGCATTGTGGGAAGTGCAGTCCATGGCGTGAAACAAAACGTGTATGGATTGTTGGATCCAAGAATGGCTTGCTCTGTAAACCTGCACCCAAATCACGATTTAAATTAAGTCTTAAAAAAAAAACCTCAGAAGGAATTAGGACTAAGACCCACCCTAGAAAAGAGTGGGCGGGTGTAGAAACGGTTGAAGCAGCACCAAGCACACAGTGAAATGTCCATTCTGCGGCTCAGAGTTGCCAGGAGTTACAAAAACCCTGACTGCAACTGGTTGTCTCGACGGCTCTGCTGCCGGAGCTGTGTTTCGATCCCTCAGTGACAGCCCCGTGTGCGTGCCGGGAGTCCCTGCCTCCGTGCCCAGGTTGATGTGTGCTGGACGAGGTGGGAATCAGATTCAAACCCAGCTCCGTCTCCTGCTTGTCTCCGCAGCCTCTCTAAGCAGGACCTGACTTCTTTCTTATCCCCGATTCTTTTGGGGACCTGCCAAGCCAGTCCTGAAGAATTCAAAGGACTCCCCAGCCTGCCCCCACCCCCATCTCATGCAGCTCCAGGTGTCTTTGCTCTGAGCCGTCTCTCCCCCTGATGTCATGAGGTTGTGCCTCTCCATTCCACCGGAACCTACCTGGGCTCCCCATTGTCCACCATATTGAATTCCCAACTCCTGTGGCGCTGAACACTCTGATTCTGTGCTTCTGCTCCCTGGCCCCCAGCCTTCCCCCTTCTTCACCTCTTCATCCCTCAGGTAAGTGGGAGGCTTCCTCTGCTCCAGCCCAGCCCTCCCACCGACTCCAGCCATGAGTCCTCTGGTCTCCTCCGCTTCTCACGATAGCCAGGACAATGGGCACATGGGCAGGGGCTCCCCTTATTCTGCCCTCAGACTCCACGCCATTCAGCATGGCTCAACCACCTTCTGTTAACACTTTCTAAGGCGGCTCTTCTCACAGTTGTGCATGCCTGCGAATCAATCGCACGAGAAGCTCCTTAAGTCAGACTGCTGGGTCCCGACTGCTCAGTAGGTCTGGTGGGACTCAAGAGCCCGCACTTCTCATAAACTCTCAGGTGCTGCTGATGCTGCAGTACCGGGGACCACACGGTCTGGCGCAGCAGAGGAGGGGCAAGGACAGGTGAGGAAGGCAGCCTCGGTGTGACAGGCATGACCACTAACACATCATCTGCCACACGGCCTCGACACATCACTTCACCCCTAGGAGCCTCCGTTTTCTCATCTGCAAAATAGGAGGAGCAATGCCCCTACCCTTAAGACAAACCTGGATGGTCGTAGAGGCTCGCGTGTTGTGATGATGCTGAACTGGTTTCAGCGGCGCTGACAGACAAAGATGGATGAGGGAGAAACGCCTGGCCATCTACTTCCAAATATCAGCCAATAGAAACCCTATAGTTCACAAGGTTCTCATCCACAACTGAGGTGGGGATGGCTGGCTCTCAGGTCATGGTGCGCAGGGCTCCCGTGGACCATCTCACTCGACCTTGACTCTTTAGTTTTCATTTGTCTAAAGAGTCCTTTAGCCTGATGAACAATGTCACTTATTTTCAGCCTTCAAACCTTTCCTTTCCTACTAGAGTAAGTGTGGTGATTAAGGAGATCCTTGTCATGTTCCTGATCTTCAAGGAAGCTATGCCAAATTTCATGATTCACTGTGGTATTGGCTGCTTATTGTTGTTTCCCTTTATCAACTGCTCGCAAGAAGATCTGCTCTATCTCTCACTTCCCCCCAGTTTCCTGGCTTGATCAGCCTGGTCAGAGGCTGATAATCATGTTGATGATTCCATCCCAAGAATCAACTGTTAGCTTGTGGATTTACTTGTTTCCTAGTTCATAGGGTTCTGACACCTTTCTTTTGGGATGTCACACTTTTTAAATTTTTGGTCTTTATTTATTTTTTCCTCAGAAAATAGAAGTACTTGTGTTAGACAGGGTTCTCTAGAGAAACAAAACCAGAACGCTAATAATTTTATATCTATTTATACAGATAGAGAGATATATAACATAAGAAATAAACAGTTAATTAAATTATAAAGCAGTACAAATGGCTCAGTGCAACTCACTCCTGTGAGACAGTTGTGAGACACTGGCAGTCCAAGTCTTGAGGGCTGCTGGGTAGTCCCCTGTAGAGCAATTCAGGCTATCCTGGCACAGGCAGCAAAATAAGGTGACCAGATTTTAATACTGGTAAAGGAGGACAAAAGCAGGACACCATTGATAAAATTCACATCCTGGCGAAATAGACACATGGCAGCCGAAAACCGTATACCCTAGCTTGTCGTGCATGCTTTCCAAAAATCGGGACTTCTTTAAAACACGTGTGGGAAAAATTGTTAAAAATCAGGACTGTCCTGCCAAAAGCGGGACGTCTGGTCACCTTAAGCAAACAGCAAGGCAGGTCACCAACAGTCAGCCAGAGGACAGGGTCCGACAGTCCCCAGCTCAAAGAGATGTAAATTCCAATGGTGTGGCAAAGCAGGTCTTGAAGGAACCTCAAATTACAGCGACACAGTCCATGGGTTAGGTGTCCCACAGGTAGTGTAGCTTGCAAATGGAGGCACAGAACAAGCAAGGCAGCTGCACACTGGTCTGATCATCAAAGAGCAAGAGACAAGAAAGGCGAAGCTCGCCGAGCCATTTATCTCGCTGCCCTTCAATTAACCCCGCATGTGTTTATCGGCCAGGTTGGCACAATAAACTAACTACCTCAGTACTTAAGACACAAACCACCACTTTCATGCCTCCCTCTCCCCAGTTTACTTCTACTATTTTTTAACATCTGTTATTACCTATCCTTTGACTTGGGGGTTATTTTCAAGGTTGGTTTTTCAAACTGCAAATGTGTGGCTTCTGTTGGGGGACACAGGGTCGGTTCTGACTCACAGTGACCGCAGGTACAACATGACGAGACACTGGTCAGTCCTGCAGCCTCCTCTCCGTGGTGCTCGGATTAGAGCCCATCGTTGCAGCCCCCGTGTCAATGGTCTTGTCAAGGGCCTTCCTCTTTTCCGTTGTCACTCGACCTTGTCAAGTACTCTGTCCTCTCCAGGGACTGGACTCTTCTAACAACCTGTCCAAAGTGCATGAGATGAAGCCTGACCAGCCTCGCCTTAAGTTGTCCTTCTTCCAGGACAGAGCTGTTGGCTCTTTTGGCAGTACATGGTACTTTCAGTGTTCTTTGCCAGCATCATTCATTCAAATGCATCGATTCTTCTTTGGTTTGCTTTATTCAATGTCCAACTTTCACGTGCATGTGAGGAGATTGAAAATACCATAGCTTGGATCAGGCACACCTTAGTCCTCAAAGTAACACTCTTGCTTTTCAACTCTTTAAAGAGGTCTTGTGCAGCAGATTTATCCACTGCAATACATCCTTTGATCTCTTGACTGCTGTTTTTATGAGCATTGATTTTCTCCATTTATCATGTTACCACATTGGTCCAGTTGTGAGGGTTTGGGTCTTCTTTACATTGAGTTGTCATCCCTACTGAGGGCTGCAGTCCTTGATCTTCATCAGCAAGTGCTTCAAGCCCTCCTCACTTTCAGCAAGCAAGGCTGTGTCCTCTGCATATCGCACGTTGTTAATAAACCTTCTTCCAGTTCTGATGCGCTGTTCTTCTTCATCTAATCCAGCTCCTCTGATTACTTGTTCAGCATACAGATCGAGTAAATGTGTGACATGGGGCTTTAAAATATATACTTGATGTTAACAAATTCTAACTTAGCTACCCTGTGACCAAAGAACACATTACCTCACCAATATGAGGGGCACCCCCCAAAAATACAACAATGGAACACCCCCCCCACGGAGCTGTCATAGCACACATTATTTTTTTGCTAGGCAAGCATCGAGCACCGTGCTCTGAGTTAGTGCACCCAGTGGTGTTGCCTGGGAAGGTTCTCTCTGGTGAGAGAGAATCTTTTCATAAAAGTTTTGCTCAAACCTCGTTTTTGTGATGGCCGATTTAAGAGAACAGCTTGTGGCTGTGAAATTTTGTTTCCTGCTGGGGAAAAATGCTGCAGAAACTGTTGTGATGTTGAACACAGCATATAAGGACAGTGCTATGGGAAAAACTCAAGTGTAGGAGTGGTTTTCTTGTTTCTAAAAAAGTGAATGTCAATTGATGACAAACCTCATTCTGGATGTCCATCAACTTCCTGAATAGATGAAAATGTCCACTCATACTGCATTTTGGTCAGACTGGTTTTTTTTTTTTTAATTAAAAGATCATTTTATTGGGGGCTCTTACAGCTCATAACAACCCATACATCAATTATATCAAGCATATTTGTACAAATGTTGCCATCATTAACAGACTGCTAGTCAAGCTTTATATTTAGAGGTTCTGAAAAGATTGTGTAACAATGTGCAACCAAAAAGCCTTGATTTGTGGCAGATGGGGGACTGACTTTTCCACCATGACAATGCACCTGCTCACACAGCCATCTCAGTGTGCCAGTTTGGCCAAAAACAGCATGCCTCTCTTGCCCACACGCCTGACTCACCTGACCTCGCTCCATGCAACTTCTTATTGTTTCCACAAAGGAAGAGGGACATGAAAGGGCAAGAAGGAGAGAGGTTTGATGACATGGAAGAGGTGAAGAGAAAAACGAGGAGGTGCTGCCCGCCATCCAAACAGATGAGTTTGAACAATGTTTCCAAGAATGGAATCGCAGATTTGACAGATGTGTTGAATGTAATGCAGAGTACTTTGAAGGTGATAAGGTTGTTTCGTAAAATAGAAAAATGTGTAAATACACAGCTTTGAAAAGATATTCTGTTTGGGAGGGGGTACCACCTCGTATGTTATCTCTCCTTTAACAGCTGTTGAAATTTGCCTAGTGGACATAAACAAGGTCTTTGTTTTTAATGATCCATGTGTGCTTTGATTGGGAAAGTGAACTTTCTAAGTTCCTTGCATACAGACAATATTTGTTTAGATTGGCCAGACTACTTACCATTTTCTTCACTCACCATTCTTCCTTCTATCTCATGTCAGACTCCAGCATCCACATCTTCTTCCTGAAGTCTGCCTCTAGCAGTTGCTTGGGTGAACAGTTGCTGGGTTTAAAGTATCAACTTTTGCTTATCTGAAAAGGTCTTTACTGAAAGTCACTGGTGCTGAGTGCACAATTCTAGATTACCCGCCACTTTTGTCATACTGCTGGGAAGACCTCCTCTACCCTGGTCTACAGGGTCCCCGGGAGGTGGAATCGAGTCCATTGCCTTCATCATCTGGCTATTTTGTAAGAGGGATGTCCTTCACAGTAGCCAGTCTGCCATCATCCCGGAAGTCTCTGTGACTCCTTGTGTATGCACCAACCACACCCCCCCCAGGGTGCACGTGTGTGTGCGTGTAAGCCTCTGGATGTGCATATATACCCGTGTGTGCGTGGCATGCACATCTCCCTGCTACATTCCTAGTTCAGATGTAAGCCCTTCCAGTCAGGGCCTAGCTCGCTCTCCTGACATCCTGACAGTATTAACTCCCATGACCAAGGTCCAGGCTGCCTGCCACCTGACACTTACACCTGTCAGGCCCAGGAGGACTCCTGAGGTGAGAGGGATGGGCCCGTTCCTTCCTCACCGGGTCTCTCCATCTGTCCCCCGCAGATCTGCCCCCAAAGGCTGCTCGTCCTTCAGCATCACTGCTTCCCCAGAAGTGGTTGTGAAGGTGGCCCACAGCCCTCCAGTCAAGAAGAACCCCAAAGGCGCCTCCAAATGGCCCCTGGACCCTGCGCTGGAGGTGACCGTGAAGATGAACGCCTGCAGCCACAGCGTAAGCGACCAGAAGGTGAGTGGGGCCGCCGTGGGGTGGGCTCCGTGAAGGAAGGCCTTCAGAGTGGGAGCTTCGCCGGTCTGTCCCAGCCCCAGAGCAGCCCCTCCCTCTGGAGAAGCTCGGGGTGGCTTGGCCCAGCCCTAGCATCCTCATAGACAAAGAGGTGGAGAGGCCGGGGTTATGGATGCCATGAGAGAGATGGAATCTACTTACAAGGCCAAAGTGTGGTGGCTACTTACTACACTCCGGACTCGGCTGGGCACCGGGATACAGGAGACAGGCAGGCGGATGAAGAAGTCTCAGCCCCCTCGGGGCTCACAGCCCAGGGGCGAGGGCATCAGATAAGATGCAGGTAAAGAAACACGAATGGCCAACAGCCGTGCATGCAGAACGTGCCAGGGGGGCCTGGCTCACGTCCCTGGTGTTCATTTTCTGCGGCTGCCCCGTGAACTGAACCACTGACGGTGGGCTTACAACAACCGAGTTGTTCTCTTCCAGCTGTAGAGGCCGGGGTCCACGCCCAGAGGTCGGCAGGCTCGAGGGGCTGGGGTGGGGGGGGACTTGGTTCTTGTCTCTTCCAGCCCCTGTTGGTGTTGCTTTTCCGGGACTTCTGGCTGCACCGCTCTGTCCTCTGCCTCCATCGTCACATTGCTCCTCTTTGTCCCTCTGCCTCAGTCCTATAAGGACACTTGCCCAGGGCTCACCTGCAAACCCCTGCACCAGCTCCTCATCTCACGTCTCATCCCACGTGCAAAGCCTGCTCTCAAATGAGGCCACCTGCACAGGCGGCAGCCCTCACGGAGATTAGGGTGCAAACATATCTTTTAGAGGACCACCGCTGCCCCCCTGGGCGCCTTTGGCTGTGGATGGGCTGCGCAGGACCATCTAGGGGTCTCACAGAGAGAGCTGAGCCAAGGACCACTTGCTCCCAGCAGGCCCCTCCCTGGGAGCAGGAGGTCAGTTGTCAGCAGCAATGGGAGCACGGAGCTAGGGTATCCAGGCAGGTCTCAGAGGGGAGGGTCACGGAAGACATCCAGGAAGGGGCTGAGGCGCGCGCGCGTGCGTTAAACTGAGGGACAGGGTGAGAATGTAATACCGCTAAATCTTCTATGCTCATACTTACAGGTCTGGAAACCCAACCCTCACGGTTATGAGATATAAATAAATCGTAATATACATTCTCATGACTGGACACAGTCCCTCCAATACCGCTCGCCCCACCCCCGCCGGCCCCTTAAAGGAAACGTCAGCTAGGAGCTACCGTATTAGACGAATCACTCGTGCATCTGGCTATTTATTCCCTGAGCCTGCAGGTGGTCTGTAGGTAAGAGCCATCCCACCGTGCACAGCCAGACCCACCGTCAAATATAGCAAACTCCTTTCTCCCATCTTCTTCCGAAACTGATCACAGATTACTTCCCTGGGGAGGGCTCAGGGGCCTCCAAGGTCAAGTAGCACTAGGTCAAGACGATGACTCCTTCACTGCTTGTTGCGTGCGTATGATTGGACCCATTGACTATGCAATATGCTTGCTGTAGACATGTAGGCCCTTTGAAAGCTCTGTGAGCCCCGCTACATGCCCATTGCAAAGTACGTTCACGTCCCCGGTCCCCACATAGGGACAAGGACTCCCTGTGCCCCACTGCCTGTATCATTTTCCATAATCACAAAGTCGCTCCTTAGGACCCGTTCGCGTGTTGGGGACCTGTACCTCCACACGTGGGAGAGTGGTCCATGCAAGTGGGAACTGTGGGAGAGGAGGTCTCGGTCTGTGTGCGTATTCTAGATAAGAAGAGGGTGAGAAGCAGGCTGGAGAAACGGAGGTCGTTCTGTGTGGCAAGCGGAAAGGGTAGGGAGGGAAGTGAGGGAGAACAGGAGCCCATATGAAGGGCTTAGCATCACGGACCTCTTTTTCTGGGGACAATAGGAAGCCCGTGGATCATTTCCCACCCGGGAGGAAAAGACTGGAATGTGTGTGCTGGAAAGCCCCCCCGCCCCAGGTTAGAGCACAGCAAGGAGACAAGAGAGGCCAGTAAGGAGACTGATGTCCCCACCCATCGGAGAGGTGACCTTCAGAGAGGTGACCTTCGTTGACCATGACACGTCCCTAGGGCAGGGCCAAACACGTCAAACTCCCAGAGAGCTCCTCTTCCTCCAGGTGCAGCTCTTTGAATTTGCTTGGGAAACTTCCCGCGGACGTTCTCCATGGGAATATCCATTCAGATGCCTTCCTCAGAACAGGTTCAGCCATCGGATACGTCCTCCGGGATGTTGAACTTCAAAGGGGGGTGGTGTCTCTTAATCTCCACAGCCCCCACCCTGTGGAGACCACTGCCCCCGCAAAGCTCCTGCTCCTCTAAAGCACTCTCTCTCTGCTCTCTCCGAGGTCTGGTTCTTCCGGGCGCTCTTTAACCCCTCTTTCTAGCCAAGCCACTGTCGGCATCGCCACTGAGCTCCCCTCACCTTCCGGGGCGACCTGGGCACGAGAACCTCCTGCACCCCGTCGGCAGTGACTCGCTCCATCTCTGCAGTATCCGAGTTACTGGAGCTGTTTGCTAGCCTTTCTGCCCGTTGGGATGCTCCCTACAGCTTGGGGCCAAGTCTGGCCCAGCCTCGTCTCCCCAGTGCCCAGCCATGGGCAGGCACAGCGGGGTGGGGGGCGGGCAGGCAGTGTCTGGGGGAATGAATGAGAGGAGTTATTCGTGTCCCGCAGGTGCGGATTTCATACTTTGGAGTTCAGTCTTCACAAAGCCAAGCTCTGCTCTTCCTCACCGGCGTTGGTAAGAGACAGCCTCCGTCCTGGAACTCCTGCCTCCCCGCCCCACCCCACCTCCCCACTCGCACCCCCCCACACGGCACCTCTCCAGCTACACCTTAGAGCTTCTTTTACACTGAGCAGAGGAAAAGGACAGGTTCTCGGCCAGGGTGCATTTGTTAGTTCCTAAATATTCCTTTTGCGGTCGGTGAACCATTAAAAAGCCACATACACAATTAGGAAAGGTGCATGAGACGCATAGCTTAATCAAATCAAGTCAGGTGGTCGGTACATAGACAGTCAGTATACGAGCCTCGCACCGCTGGAGGTGCAGTGGGCTACATACACGCTGCACTGCTAACCACAAGGCCAGCAGTTCAAAACCACAGCGGCTCTGAGCGGGGGAAACGAGGCTTTCTGCTCCTGTGAAGAGGCATGGGCTCCAAAATCCAGGGGCGGGTCTACTCTGTCCCGTCAGGCTGCTGAGAGTCACAACGGGCTCAACGCCAGTGAGTCTGGGAGTTTGATACTTTTCCACACTCCACATAGTCGTAAGAAAAGTTGACAGTGTCTTGACATATAAGGATATAGACCAGAGTTTCCACATTTCCCTGATTCATATCTGGTTTTCAAGTAACATTGGTGGTGCCTGGTTGCTGAGTGCAAGGTCAGCAGTTTGAAACCACCAGCCACTCGGAGGGAGAACAATGAGGCTCTTCACCC